GATTCTTCGAAGTTAAGACACAAAAAATACTTCAAGATAAGGTTTTTGTACAACCACCTAGATACTAAAACCTCGAGAATCTTCACGCACTCGTGAGTGAGAAATTTCATGTACTTGCTCATGCTTACATCTAATCTAACTTATATGGAGTAAACATGGCAAAGTTTACCTGTAACATTCAGCTCAAGCACTATATCAATTAAAGTAACAAGTTCAAATGGGCTGCGAATTTGTGACTCAACTACTTCAATAGCAATCAATGCAAATTTTCGGCAAGTGAAACATCTTCCCCATGCAGAAACGTACTATATGTTGCATAAAGATATTTCATCAAAAATTTCCAACACATTCTATCAAAACAGCAACACTTTACAGGCACAAACTTTGCCACTTGCCAGGAAATTTAAACATAAGATGGCCTTGTGATACAACCATTATCCATAAAACACTTGCCTGTCATAATGCACAAGCAAGGCTAGGAATAGATATTTAGCATGGGTAGCAGGATGCAGTGCATTTAAGTATGCAAATTATATGCATAAAAGGATGGTGGCAAACTTAAAATTTCAGAGGTAATACATTTTCAACAACATGATCAAATCTTAGGCAAGTATTTCGAAAAAATACTCGCTTATTTTTCTGCGTTCGGAAAGTCGCCGGGTCGAGAATATGTCCAATTTCAAGAGCAAATTTAAGATATATAAGAAATATAACTTACATTTACAGGCCACGGATAACAGAAATGCTTAACAAGCTGAAATCTCTCCATGTCGAAATCACGTATTCCACAATCATTATTTGAAGCTGTGAAATGAACAGCACCACTGATTGTGGTTTAACACCTAATTAGTTCGAGAATATGGGTAGATATAAATGGCATTCCAGCATTAGTGAATTTCTGGGTCAGAGATATCATTTAGGGAGGTCTTTGGGTAGGTGAGAATGAGGCTCACCTTGGACTATCATAGATCTCGATTGCATTTGTGATGGCATTTTCATCATAAGTTGTCCTTGTACAAAAGCTAACACCAGGTCTGTCCAGGTACTGCATCAAATGGAGAATTCTTCAACAAACCATGAAGAAACAAAAGAAAATTTCGGTTCGGAGCAGAGTTACTCTCAATTAAGTGTCCTAGCTATCTACTCATGACCTGAACGATTTAAAAAACCTAATCTTTTATTTCCTGCAGCATAATCGGAGATAGAAAATGGACAGGAAACAAACTCAGGGCTTGATTGTATACCAATTAATTTACTCACTTTTATTTCAACTCAAAATCTAACTCAACTCCACTATCTTTAATATTATTCATTTAATTAAATAATACAAACTAATCATTCTTATACATCACATCAACTTTAATTCACTATTCATCCACTCACATAATTTTAACTACCTATCATTTCCAATCATTTATCTCTTACGTTTACATCAAATCAATTTTAATCATTTTATTTTAAATATTATTTTAATACATTCTTAAAATTCCACTAACAACTAACCATACCACCTTTTTCAAAATTAACTATGGTTAACCAAAATAACTCATTTTGAACAAATTATTTCATAAACAATCAAGCCCAGATCAGCAATTAAAAAGGGAAGTACATACTTCAAAAATTTTTAATCACTTAACCAAGAAAGAAATGAGCTCATGAAATGGCCCAACAACATCATATTTAGAGAGGAAAAAAAAAGGTAGGTCCGCCGTTGATTGACACACAGAAAAAAAGATGAGTAAAAGTTTTCACCAAAAGAGAGTATACCTTGCAAATAAGTTCTCCTTGGAATCCTCCAGCTATCAACAAATTGTCACGGACTGCCATAGTACTTACTTGAGTCTGAGTAAATCCTTCCAGTAAGCTTCCAGGATGTCTCTGTAAGATAGCATTGGAGTGTCCCAACCAGTATTCAACATAGAAAATACAAAGGAATATTATCTTAAACGACTCAACTTAAGATCAGATAAGAAATGTGCACCTCAGAAGGAACCACATGTCCGGAAACATTTAGAACTTCTGTCTTTTTAGAACTTAGTGACGACCAATGGATAACAGAGAAATGTGACATTAAGTAAACATCATGCTTTGATGTCGACCAAACTAGGTTCCTCAACTGCAATCAGATAGCAAGTTCAAAGAAAGATTACTCCACATATACACAACAAAAATTAGAGAATGAGATGTTTACGCGAATAGGTGTGCATACATCCAATTAAAACAAAATTTGAAACCTACAAGTTGTCTAAAAAAAAAATAAATAAATAAAGACTCAAATCATGATTGGCTCCAAAATGCAACTTAGAACAAAACATTTTGTGCTGCCTTTGTTGTGAGTCTATGACATTACAACACTGAAATATTACCATGACTATATATGATAAGCCCCCACTGAAATATCACACACTATTCATATCCATAACACCTAAATTTCACTAATCATTATTGATTAGTTTCATGATGCAGCCAAGCAGGCCAATGCATAGTCTTTCATCTGTTTCACCAGCTGTCGCTAAAATCAACTAATCAGTTTGGAAAGAAATATAAAAAAAATAATCGAAACAAAATTGGAGTACACTCATACAAAGTTCTGTTGCACTAAGTACAAGCATAGACCACCTCAATACTAATCGACATAGTCGTCCAAAATGAAGATAGAAATTATTAGTGTAGGATCGGATGTACTGTCCCATACCTGGAAATGAAGAATGGTTGATTTTACCGATCTGGTGTTCTGCCAGAACTCATAATACACTCCACCTTTCCTTGTTACTTTGCATTGCTAACAAAATGCAAAAGGAAAATCACATAACTATAGAGAGCAGCCCATTTGCAACCAATCCCACTTTTGTTTTAATATTTACCTTCTCTGAACCTTCCCCGGATTGGGGTACATTCTCATAGTTCTTATACTGTTCTATTCTAGTCTGCCTATACTTTTCCCGAGATATGCTTAGCTTCTTCCACGGGATTCCTTGGATATCCTTCCCTTTCCGCGCTTCCGCAGCTGATGTATCGGTGATCTCGCCCTAATCCCACATTTTAAGATGACATATAGCGAATAGCAAAACCAACAATCAAAACAATGAAAAAAAATGAAATTCATATTTCCAGTAAAACTAGTGAACGCAGACTGAACTCACCAAACTTTCATTGTCATCGTCATCCTCCTCCTCCGACTCTGTGTCTCCCATTATTCGACCACCATCATACAAATCATCTTCTACTTCACCCATCACATAATCATCAACTGCATAATCCATTTCTTCTTGATATGACATCTACTAGCAGTTAGTTAACTTCTCCCTGTAAGCTGCAAGAACAGTAATTGCTTAATAATGAAAAAAAAAAAACATTTAAAATGAACACTTACAGGAGCAAAACTCCTAATAAAATTAACAGCACAACAAATTCTCCACAGTTAAGGAAAAATAACAAAATTTATGCATTGCAAACAGTTATAAATCCTGCATGAAATTAAACTATCCCTTAATGGCCATTTTTTTGCTGTTTACTTCCAGCAGCATTAAACCAACAGCAAAAATCTTCATAATTAAAAGCGGCAGGCAATCTCTTATGTCACTTGAGAAGCGGTCCTCCACACTAGTGATAAACCATGGCCCATCAAAGAAAATAAATATGAAGGAATCTGAAGAAAACATTTAATTATAAAGAAAGTAAGCTCCACTTCACACTCAGTATGGAACCCTAAACACCAAAAAGTTAAGAGAATAACAAACAAACAAACAAACAAACAAACCCATATATTATCGAATCAACAAGCACGGGGAAGGCAATTGAACCCCTGCAAACATCAAGCTGTATAACTGAACGAACCACGATTAAAAACCTCTAAGATTCTCTGGCATATATATATTTCTCAATTCAGACATGTAAATTCTCCGTCCAAACAAAAACTTACAGGTGCCGGCGCCGCGGGATTCCGATCGGCAAGATGAGGAAGAGATCTCAACGCCTCCGATCAAATTCGGAAAGGACGATCTATGGATAGCTCAATTCCAAATGCACTTAAATGTGTGATGTATGACTAAGAGGCGGTTAAAAAAATATTCTAAATTAATTGTGGTAAAAAGATTATTTACTTATTTACTATAGTGTGTAAAGTTTTTTTTTTTTTTTTTTTTTTTTTT